ATCATGACATTTATTTGTTCTTAGTGTCTGAAAGAAGCATTCCTGAAACAACACATCAGTGTTTATACTTAATGTACAAAGTTTGGAATAGGAGAAATCAAGTGGATGCAGAACTTGATTCAGTAAGAGCAGCTGACGCTCCTACTGAGCTTCACCTGCACTGGGAGCAGTTTAGAGTTTCACTTTCACTGCCTGTTAAGTTTCATTTTGACTCAGAGCCTTGTTCAGAAAAGGTAATGGGTGGACTTCAATGCACTTTAAGCAAATTCAACTAATCTTTGAAGGCTTTGTCTGTTTAGTTTCCAGGATCAGATACAATTTCACAATTTACACGTTTACTCACTGATGCTTAGATTTAAATATTAACTAAAGGTTGTAAAATCAGCGTACACAGACCTGCCCTGCCATGTCCCAGGCCCCAAAAGTTTCCTCTTATCACTGTATGCAGCACGTTGACTCCACTGATATCATTCCGCCCTTTAAAAGCCCTTCCCACTGTTACCTCACTCTTTAGTTTCTTACATAATCCTTTACCTTGTTAAATATGTGGTGACATTTTGATGTTTCGGTGTTGTATGAAGCTGGAAAGCCTCTTGTACCCTGCTTTGAATCCCTAACAGACAAATAAATTAACTGATATTTAATTACAGCTAATTGCAACTGATTGAGCCATTCATCATTTAGAAGATGGCAAACCTCCAGAGCAAACAGGAGGGGTGGAGCAAGCAATGTTTGGTATGAGAGATAATTTCCCAGCTGGTGTCACAGAAGAATGAAAGGATTCAAAGTTATAGCTATGAATGAATCTTTAATCCCCATGTTTGTTTTAACCCTGGAGAACCCATGGGGTCAAATTTGACCCCATGGTTTCCCTAGTAAACCAGTGGGGTTGGCTCTGACCCCATGGGTTCTCCATGGTTAAGAAATGAACTATTTCTTCTGTAAATTTGTTCTGGCTTTTTCTGCTATTTTTTCCTTCTTCACTGAAGATTTCTATTGTTTGAAACTTACACCGCCCAGCCTCCGCCACCGCCTGTGTGTCAGTGCTTTGTCTCACTTCGTGTTTTTATAGTGACACAAAGGATTGACGTGGTTGGGCCTACCTGCCGGGACTCCGCCTTGCCGTAGCGCAGCTCATTGACAAAATGCTCGCAGTTTCTCCTGACGACGCAGTACGGCAGCACCTGGCCCACCAGCCTGCGGGCCTCCCTCACAATGACACCAGGCGAGTGCGGCTCGTACTTCTTGTCCAGACTGTTGCTGATTTTCCACTCGTCAGTTCCCACCACGTCCCACAGCCCATCTTTCTTCACCAATGCCTTCTCAGTTATGACAGACATCACGCTGCTGGAGCCGGCATCCGGGACCTCAGCTGGGGACAAAACCCACTCAGTTTACATGCTGAATATTGCAAGAGTTTGTGTTTTGAGTTGGCTGTACCCCAACAAATAATTTACATTCTGTTCTGTCCTGAAAACCCACATCACAGAATCTGCATGTGGCCTCTCAGATAAGCTGCTTTTTGTTTTCAGTGATGGGGTTTGGGGGAAGGAGTCCAGACAGTGTGTGTGTATATGTGTGTGGAGGGACTCACAGGGTGGTGCCAAGTGAACAACGAAGCCATCGCCAATGTACACAGCCCAGTGCTGGTAAGAGCCACGAAAGATCTCGATTAAATCCCCAGGCTCTGGCTTTTCGTCATACTTGGATTAGAAGAGAGGGGAAAAATGTTTGAATTTCCAAAAGAGTGTGTTTCTCAATAATTGCAGCACATTTGACCCGATCACGCTGACTCGCTTTAAATAGAAATCAGCTTGATGTAATAAACAGCTCTGAGGCTATAAATGCCATCACATTCTTTTACTAACCAGTGTTGGGGCCATGTCAGCCTGTCTTTGGTCTGCGAACTTCCGATTTGTTGGACTTCCTGACGACTTTCAGCTGTAGGGATTAAAGATAAATAAATAAATAAAAGTACACATCAGATTTAAGCACACCACGTGATACATAATGAAAGTAAAAGACCGATAAATCTAATAACACTTTAAATATCTGTATGTTTTTGCACACCAAACCGGGCTAGATCCTTCCTGAGCTGAACAGCGCTCCTCTTAAAAACAGCTGCAGGATTGTTGATGTTCCTAATAAACTGGCACATTAGCATAACCTCTGCATAACCTCTTTCGTGGAAATAAACGCCAAAGAAGCGAATGTTAGAGAAAAGCTCGCACTTTTAGAGACTTATATATCAAAATAAGTCACAAAGAGTGTTTAAAAATCGCACACGAAGAAGATTAGCCAGAATTGGTCCGTGTTTGCATCACCCAAAAGCCGTGAGGTAACACCATCATTCACGCGACCCTCAGCTGTGGGAGGTCTTTGATCGGGTTAATTCCTTACCTGCAGCGACCAGACTCTTTTTCTCCTTCTTCTGTTCTTATTGCGGTTGTCAAAACGATCTCGAACCCTTTCGTTTTGAAATGAGAGACGTCGCCGACGCAAACATCAAAAGCTCACTCGCGAGCGATCAGCTGATTCGTGCGCGTGCTCAGTGCCCTTCAAAATAAACGCGTGGCAGTATTTTATTTGTCTTTTTTAAGCGTCAGGTGATTTTTAAGATGACTTTTAAGATGACTGATTGTTTAAGCAAGGTGCAAGAATATTACAAGAAAACGCGTGAATATTTAATGATGTGATAAAATTAAGTGTGAAGGAATCAAGAGTCTGCTTTTGTTTCAGCTACAAATACCTACACTTTTTATTTTCTTTCTTTCATAAATGTGTGATTTTATCATGGGTAAATTTCATTTAAAATATTTAATTTATGTATAATTTATTCGCATTTATTTTGTTATTATTTATTTTTGTTAATATTATTTTTATTTTACCTTTTTTGGTCCGGCAGGTGCTTGACTTTAAAGTCTAATTTCAACAAATAACGACATTTTCTTTCTCTTAAATCGCCGGTTTATTATCCGCCACCCCCTCTCTTTCTTCTTTCCGTGATCAGTTATGATGGCCACGCGCAGAAAAACACGCAACTCAACCTTTAGAACCCCCAACACTTTCGGTTTAAATATAACTGAGAACTAAATCTTCACGAGGATTTTTTTATTGCGTGACGACGTGACGACGTATGCTTGTTTGCTTCAGTAGGAAGTCAAAAATTGCTGGAGTTTATATTTGTACAGTTTAAATGTGGGGTGTCAAACAAGGGGATAGATCCGGCCCTTCTAAAGGTCCAGCCTGGCCCACTGGATGTCTTTACAATAAGCTTGGAGTTCTTGATGTGCTGATGGCAGGATTGTTAAACAGAAGGGAACTGTAGATATGTTTGAATGCTGTTTTTTCTTAATTAACACTGTCCATGTAAAGCCTGTCTGTCTTGTGAGCTGCAGATGGTGACATCCTTGTAATGACAGCAGACTAAAGTGAGAGTGGAAAAAAAAATGGTGAAATTATATATGTTTTTCTTGCCATGTTTCATGTTATTCATCATCTGATGGTCATTAAATGAGAAAAATGAGCAGATTTTTAATGGTTTTAGCTGTTTTTAAATGTTACTCTTTCAAAATGTATCCTTCGCATTTCAAAAAAAATTAGTCATGTATTTGTGTCTTGATGCATGCTCAGTCATCCAGGTAGGTAAACCCCAAAAGGTTGATTCTGTTCATCTGAATGTAGCGTTTTCAATGGGAGAAACGTTTCATCACTCATCCGAGTGACTTCTGCAGTCTCAGCTGACTGCAGGTCACAGCCATTGATCAATGGTCAGACCATTAAACAGTGGTTGCTGATCAATGGTCATGACAGTTTGCATATTAATAATAAAGGAACTGACCTCACAGCCCACTGTTCGTCAGTGGTGCTAGTTGTGCTGTTTTCTCCATTTATGGATAATGTCTCTCAACGTGGTTCACTGCAGTCCCAAAGCTTTAAAATGGCTCTTAACCGGTTCCAGACTGATAGATGTCACTGACTGCTTCTCACACGTTCATAGGTTTCTTTAGATGGTGGGATGATGTGCTGCTTTTTGAAAGGAGCAATTACTTTTTCGCAGAGGGCCAAGTAGACTTTTTATGCCATTAAATCAAATCTTAATTTCCAAACTGCATTTTGAATTAATTTGGGTACTTATTTATTATTTAATATCAAAATTTATTGGATGATCCACAACATTTATGCCCATATGCAAAAAGAAATTAGGAAGGGAGCAAATACATTTTCACTGCACTGCCTGTCACCCTGTGAAAACTTTGGCAGCATCACGAAACTCTTTTTTATTTATTTTAACTACAAAAATCATCCTTATTCAATATAATTTTCTCCCCTGATGAACTTCACCCCACCTGGAGTGGCCTGTATTAAATTTAAATTCAACATGAATTGAAAACCAGGATCATAGAAGTCATCTAAATAAGTGGAATGACAGGGAATGAAATTTAAAAGTAGCAATGATGCTCCTATAGGTTGATATCCGAATATCAGCAAATAGGAAAACATTAACTGCTGGCAGCGGCTGATGTTGACTAATGTGTTTGTAATGAATATTTCACTGTATATTCGGCACAACTGGAGAATAAATACCACAATTTTTTCTCAGTTTTGTATTATTATTATTATTATTATCATTTTAAATATCTCTGCTTAAAAGCTTGTATTCCATTAGTAAAGTTAGATCATTAAGTCAGTACTGAAACACATAATAAAGGACACAGAATTAATATGTATCATTTTAAAAGTTAATGTTATTAATTTGTTGTTGTTGTTGTTGTTTTTTTTTACCTAAAATATAATTATTAATTTGCAAAAACTACGTACTATGATGATGAACTTTTCCTTCATTTTTTTCTCTCCCATGTCCCTTGCGGGGCTCCGTAACGTACTATGTAATAATCAGGCGAGCTAATTTGATTTTTCTTTGCTTTATCTCTGTCGAGTAGAAAGCAGCAGTAGCAGAAATAGACATGACCACTGGGTGTCGCCAAAGACTTCCGCGGTCCGCTTGACGTTTCCTTTTTCTAACAGCGAAGAACTCCCAACTTCCGGCTTCGGAGCGCCCTTTCGTTGTATTTTGTCCTGAAATTTGGTTGCGAAGGCAACAAAAAAGCTGCCATAATCGCTCAAGTCGAAGCCCCACGGCCGAGAGGTGGATTCGCTGTGATGTTTTGATGTTTACCGACCGAGCGATGTCTGTGGTGTTTGACGGGAGCCCGCTGAAAGCGATGCAGAGCTCACACACTCACACACCGCAGATTGCCCTGAGGTGAGTGGCAGATATGACACAAGAAGTGCATCCGCAAGATTAAGTCCCACAGCACACGTCTCCTGCTCGGGGTTAACTGTATGAAGAGCAGTGGGGCATACATTTATATTTCTGTGCATGATTAAAGTTAGTGCTTTAATCCTAGAGTGCATGCTTTCACCTTAAAGAAGACAAAACACAGTAAACACCTAAATTTGATTTGATCACTTTGATTAGTTTAAAGTCGTATCAAGCTTATGTTTTTACTTATCAGTGAAATAACAAAATATTTTTCATTACGAATACTTTCTGTGCGAGGTTAAAAAAAAAGATTACTTCACTGGATCAAAATTAATCTGCTGCTTTTCTAGTAATAGTTAAGTGTTTTTTCCTTGATGTGACAACAGTTCTTTGGCTGTCTTTAAATGACTAATCGATTAATTAATTGATGAAATAATTATCAGAAGAGTTATGATCAATATAACCTCAACAAGGGCTCAGATTGGGCCATATAAGCTTGAATGGTTCACATATAGTTAAAATGGGACCACAGTCTAGTATGTTGGATGGCACGTGACTGATACTTGGCCAACTAATGTTGTTAACGCTGTAAACCTGGACACTTCTTGGTTTCATTATATTTATTAAATTCTACTTTTAGGACAAAGAGAATACTAACAAATTAAAGATAGAAATTATTGTTATTTTGATCATCACATAATCAATATTATTTTAAACATTTAAAAAAAAATCCAGATTTAGAATCTCGATTTTTAATCTAGAGCTCATAAAATAACAAGTGAATGCCTACAAAAGCCCAAACTGACGACCATCAACTAATAGTTTTGTTTGACTTGAACATAATTTGTTCATAATGTTATAAAACAAAGAACAGCAGGACATACTGGCATTTCTTCAGTGTTGTCATTGGTCAGTTCTCCACACGTAGTTGAGCTTAAATCAAAAGCCCAAGCTTCTACATTTTAATAATAACACCAAACAGTTACTTGCTAGCTTTGCCACTTGTAGTTCTTATATATGTTGTGGAAGGAAGTTTTGTCACAGGATGTCACTTTTGGTTCTGTAAGGCCTTAATGGGTGTTGTTCACAACTTCTTCATATATTCACACAGAATATGTTAGCAGTGATGTATTCTTAGATCATTATGGCCGTCCTTATCATTTTTAGCTTGTTGGTGAGACACCACTCACTTTCCTCATGTCTACTTTCTCCTTCTCTAGTACCCAGGAACTGTCTCAGGAGATCAAGTCCTTCATCAGTGGCGTTGACACCGTTCAGGGCCGGAAGCTTAGCGTCCGAGAACATGCTCGATGCGCTGTGCGCCTGCTGCGCTCAGTCCCGGCCTGTCGTGGGGCGGTCTTGGAGCATCTGCGAGGCGTGTACGATGAGCATGTGTCCGCCTTCCTGCACAACCTAGAGACGGAGAGTAATGCCAGCACTGGGGTCAGCTCCAACCTGGAGGACATTATACAGGTGTGACTACAAAAATACACCATCATAAAATAAATATGCACATATTGAAGCTAAAAAAGATTTTTAAAGGTAAATTTGTTTTATTATTTCTTTTGTCTGTAGGAGATTCACGCCGTGCTGTCAGAGTTCATCCGTCTCAACCCCCGAGCCTGGGCCCCTCTAGTGTCCACCTGGGCTGTGGATTTACTGGGCCAGCTGAGCAGCAAGCATGCTGGGCGCCGTGTCGCCCCCCACTCCTCCAGCCTCAACGAGCTGCTTCAGCTCTGGATGTCTTGTGCTGCCACTCGATCTCTCATGGAAGCCTACTCTCAGTGTCTGGCTGCAATGCTGGCCTGGTGCCCCGATGCCTGTGTCGATGCTCTTTTGGACACTTCAGTTCAGCACTCCCCTCATTTTGACTGGGTGGTGGCTCACATTGGGTCTGCCTTCCCCGGTACCATCATCAGCCGAGTGATGGCATGTGGACTGAAGGACTTCTGCTCTCATGGTGCTAAGGACCAAGGGCTGCTTGTAATGGGAGTGGATAAAGGCAGCAGAGTGCCAAAGATCGGCTCAGTGGTGGGAATCCTTGGACACCTCGCCGCTCACCACTCCGACAGCATCCGGAAAGAGCTGCTGAGGATGTTCCAGGAGAGTCTCAATCCGTCGAGCCCTCTGTCTCCAACCTCATCTTCAACATCCTGGGAAAGCTCCCCTCAGCTTCGTCGTGCTGCGGTGCCGTTTCTCCTGCAGCTGGCAGCAATGTCCCCAAACCTTTTTGGTCCTGTGTCTGCAGAGCTCGTCGAGTTGTTGCGCCCCCCTGTCCTGCTCCAGCTACAGGCCGTGCTGCAGGGCCTCCCCAGAGAGGAACTGGATAACATGCTGGGCCTGGTTGTGCATCTCATTAGCCAGAGCCCTTCGGGAGGGGCCCGGGTACTCAGATTTCTGGCAGACACTGCGACCCCAGCTTCAGTCATTATCTCAGGCCCAACTCCCTCACCTCACGAAGGAGTCCGAGAAGGTTGCGACCGCCTCCTGCAGATGCTGCTCCTGCATCTCCACAAGTTAGTATTCAACCGCACTGATGGAGTTGAGGTCAACCCCCATCACTCTGCTTCCTCACAGCCCCAGAGGGTCATCCCGTTCTTGGAGGAGCTGCAGTCTCACATTGGTCAGCTGTGTGCTGAGACGCTGCGACTGGAGAGGAAGCGTCATCTCTGGCTGCACCAGCTGCTATGTCTGCTCTCAGTTTATGGGGGTCCCAGCACAGCAACTGAGGCCCTCTGCCAGCTGCTCACTCAGGCCCGCAATCCAGAGGAGTTGGCTCTGGCCTGGCAGCTCCACACCACGCTCTCCTCTTGCATGGCAGGCCTCATTCCTGCTGCCATTGCACGTAGCGTGGCGCAGATCCACACGCACACTCTGGGGCCTCGGCAGCTTAGGCAGCTGCTGCTCAACCTGGCTGCAGCCATCCAGAGTCAGGACGAGGAGAGAAGAGGAGCAACAGGTGCTCAGTCCTCCATGGTGGTCCAGGTGGGCTCGGCGGTCTCAGGACACCTCCATGATTTCTGCCCACTTCTTCTCCACGGTGACCCAGCTGTATCTCACGCTGCAGTACGCCTCCTGTCCTGCAGCCCGCTCCCTCGCACCTGCTCCCCAGCACAGCTGCTCCAACTCTCTCGCGCTGCCGTCACTCATTTCTTCCAGGCTCTGCGAAGGAGAGGAGAAGGAGGGAAGGCAGGGAGAGATGGAGGGCAGGCAGGTGAAGCAGTGAACTGCTCCGTTCTTCTACTGTCCCGTTTTGCCGCATACTCTCCTCTTACGCTCAAATCAGTGCTTCAGCAGCTGGTTGAAGGAGCGCTACATAAAGGCAACACTGACCTATTTGGAGGGCAGATCGCAGACATGTCTGGCGCCCCTGTGCCTTCCCCATCTGTGTCGCCTGATGTTGGAGCCTCTTTGCTGGACGTCAACTGTCGGTTTGGTACCACCGTTAATTTTTCAAGTAGTGTGTGGTCTGTGTTTCACGCAGGTGTGATTGGCAAGGGACTAAAGGCTCGCACCATCATACAGCTGCCTGATCCATCCTTAGTCATACAGGTGAGTGTTTAAAGATTGCAGAGCAGTTAAAACTATAAATAGACTAAGGAAGTGGGGGTTTTTTTTATGTATTTTTACTGTAAGTTGTGCATAAAAATTATTCGTCCATGTGACTCCTATGAAATGTTCAAACAGAGGAAATAAATCTGTAATAATGTGCATGTTTTCGTCCTCTTTTCTCTGTAGAACATTCAGATTCTGCTGGCAGTTATTGTCAAGTGTTGCAGCTCCTCCGGTCTGAACGGCTCACGATCACCGTCTGACCCCGATGAGCCGCCACCCATCAACGCGGAGGCAGCCAAGGTTGTTGCAGTCACAATAGTGGAAAACGTCTGTCCCGACGTGGCCAATAGCGAGTTATCCTGGCCCCCAGAAGAGCACGCCCGCACCACAGTGGAGAGAGACATCCACATTCGGCGCTGCTTTGAGGCCCACCCTGTGCTCTTCCCTCTGCTTCAGGTCGTTGCGGCTGGACGACCGGCTCTCTGCTACTGCTCAGCGGTGCTCCGAGGCCTCCTGGCCACTCTGTTGGCCCACTGGGAGGCATCTCGCGAGGCATCATCCACAGACTCCCCATGGCACCTCCAGGCTTCCTGCCTCTTGGTGTCCTGCATGGGAGAAGGCCAGCTCCTGCCACCCGTCCTGGCCAACGTCCACGAAGCTTTCCCTCACCTGACTCCCTTCGAGGTGAGGCTGCTGCTGCTGGCTGTGTGGGAGTACGTAAGGGGGAATGGGCCCATGCCCCAGAAGTTTGTCTTCAGCTCGGAGAAGGGCATGTTCTGCAGAGATTTCTCACGGGACGGCGACGTAGCAAGATACGTGGCGCCGATCCACAGCGTGCTACATAAAAACATTGACAGACTGGGGCACCTGTGCTGGCGATTCCAGCTCTGAGGAGTGACGGGGAATAAATAGACTGTAAAATGGAGGGATTACTGTGTTACGGTCCAAGAGCGGACCCCAGAGTTTCAGTCACTGTAGTTCACTACCATATCAGTAGAGGCTTGTGCGCGTGCATACCTTTTTGTACCGTTTTTAGACTTGATACATTTCTAACTGGTGAGAAACACAAATGGCACATGTGTACATAGTGTGCATACAGAATCTGGGATGTAATGTGTTTTAATGTGTCATTTTGGTTCCAAAAATACATTAACTGCTAAATCATTTACAGACTGTTTTGTATAATTTTCACATTGTTTGTGTTCTATAATGGAAACACAACTTTGCTTTCTTGTTGTGTACATGACCTCTTCTTTCAGCTACTTTTCAAAAAATAAACCTTTTGTTCCAGAATTTGACTTAACTTGAGGGTTCCTCGTTGTTGTGATCGTCAGAAAGTTGTATTATTAACAGTTTACAGGCTCTTTTTGTGTTTGAGCTTCGCTAATTTTGATTAAATGTTAAAACAAAAAAAATAACTTGCAAAGAAAGGTTAAGACACTCTAAATAAGGTAAAACAAAAAGACGATTATCAAATCATCAATCCTGGACTTTACAATAGTCTTAAAGTTGTCTTTGAATAACTTTGATTCTACAATTTACAGATAATCTGTATTTCACAAAAAAGAAAAGGTGGATGAAGTGGAGGTAGTCAGTGGAAGCTAGCCATAATATATATGTGTGTGTGTGTGTGAATGGGAGGGAGACAGGTGGAGTGATCAAGGTGGATGAGTTTAAACACCTGGGCTAAACCATCCAAAGCAATGGGCAGTGCACAAGAGAAGAAAAGACAGATTTGTGGCAGAAGGATGACAGAAAGAGTGAAAGGGAAAGTTTACAAGATGGTAGTGAGATCGCAAAAAAGACAGAGGAGGTGGAGCTGGAGGTGGTAGATGATAAGATTTCCATGAGGGGTGATCAGGATGGACAAAATTAGAAGTGAGTAGATCAGAGGAACAGCTCTATGGAGATTAAAAGGGTGAGATAGTTTGTCGCAGAGGGAATGTATTGAGCAAAGGAAGTTAAAGATAGAGACCATAGTGAAGGTTCATGGATGTAGGGAAGGATTACATGCTGAGGATGGAGGCTGATAATCTGTGGCGATCCCGAAAGGGAGCAGCCGATAGAAGAAAAACCGGACCACTGACATGAGGTCCAGAGGGGAAAACACGCCTAAATCATGGACGAGCATTGAGCTTTAAGGCGATTACGTCCATTTGTGTTCCGTGTGTGTGTGTGTATACATCTGCCGATCGTTATGATTTATAGCACGGCTGTAGTAGTTGCACGCATCGGATTGGCTGGAAATGAATCCGGTGGGACAAAGACTCCCATTTGTGCACTTCACTGACTGGAGCCTGGCGATGACGTGTCCGTGCCTGAGAGGATACATTCATACGTTCATCCTCTCTTTACAGCCAGAAAAATAACATAAAGATTAAAAAACATACTCTTTACAGTGTTAACCGCCACATATTGACCTGCTATTTGAAAAACACGCGTAAATATTAGCGCAGTTGCTGAGTATCCTATTTCTTAACGATCTTTGTTGCGGAGTGATTGGGGGCGGAGTCAAGAGGCCGCATAATCAAGATGGCCACCTTCACTGCAAGGTAGGACAAAGCAGTTCCGTTGTTTCATCGCCAATTTATTCTTTTTTTCGAAATATTATCAGTGCGCGGGAGGACAGAGTTTATCATCGTAGTTGCACATCGTATAAGCGTGAAAGCAAACTCACTGTTTCGGGGTTTAACTGCCGCAAAGTCGGAAAATTAATGCGGGAAAAATTCGATATCCCCCTCAATTGAATTGAATTGGATTAGCGACTTGACAGGCTGGCTCTTAGTAAGGTTAGCACCTTATCTTGATCCGGATTGCTTAACGATAACACTGCTGTCAGACAACGGGTGCATTAGTGCGTGTGTAAAAACGTAGACGTTTATTTAATGTTAAATTAAAAATTCTTAGCGGTTTCCTGTTGTATTTTTTCCGTCTTGAGCACTCTCTAGCTAGCCCGCTTAGCTGATTGCGTTAGCTTTTACTGCCTCTTTTCCTTGTCGGCAGTCTGAACACATCCCCTCATCGGGATTTTTACAGTAGAGCTGGGAATGAGTCTTTAATTGCAGGACCAGCGTCTGAGGTGAGGACAATGGGGTGCTTCTTGTTAATATGCGCACCGTGTGCTGGGTGAGGAAATGGGTAATTGTATAGCTGCCTGTCACATCGTTTTAGCACCATAGAGACCCAAGTCCGTCTGTGTGTGCTGTCTGTTACCCAACTCCTGTACTGTAGTTTGGTTAGCTCTGCCAGGCGTTGCATCCAAATGTGATTGCACGCTGAAGCTAATGTTCTTGTCTTTGCTTCCCATTACAGGATGGCGCCTCTCTTGGTAGTCGGGCTGGCTTTGTGCCTCAGCGGGACTTGGGCTGTGGACAAAGGCAATTTCAAGACCTGTGAGCAGAGTGCTTTCTGCAAGTGAGTTCCCAAAAGACAAACTGCTCATGAATAAAGCGGCACATAATTGCAGAGGTTTATAACTGGTGTCGGCTCTTGGTTTGAAATGTTAAACAGGCGTCAGCGAGCTTTGAAGCCTGGAGAGTCTCCTTATCGAGCCCTGCTGGAGACCATGGAGCTGACCAACACCAGACTCACCCTGCAGCTCATCAATGACAACAACAAGGTAGATTACAGAAAGGGGACAACAAACATTTGCACAATCTGTAAAATATGATTTCTCTATATTTCTTTTTTACTTGTTTTTATTGCTTTTATCTTTATTTATCGCATTAATAACTGAATTATTAGGCTAACAAATCACTTTCCCCTTGTTTTTATGTTTTTGAACTATCAGCTGAAATAAAAAATGTAAATCCCATTTTCCAGGGTAACCTCTTTGTTATGTGAAATCATAGTGACCCATTGCTAAACCCAGTGTTTTCCTATGCTGTGTTTGTAGAAAATGAGGCACCTGCCTTTGCTTCTCACTGTTCTCATTCTCACTTTGTGCTTGTGTCGCAGGTGCGTCTGTTGCTCGAGCTCTACCGCCTCCAGGGAAACATAACGAGGGTGAAGATTAATGAGCTTAAGCCTCTGAAACCTCGCTATGAAGTCCCAGACGTGCTCATCAGGGAGCCTACCACAGAGCCGTGAGTGTCCTGTGAGGGTTTCATGGGTGGGTGGAGGTTTTGATGTTGGGAGTCAAGCCGAAAACACAAGAACAGGAGGGATACTTATTTCAAAGGATCTTTAAATAGGCAGAGCAACAGAAAATATTTCATGATAACATCAGCTTTTTTAAAGGTTAGGTAAAGTGAGGGTGTGAATTCTGAAATTTCTACTTTGACAAAGATCCGTTAATAAAAGGGATGCCTCTTTTATTAAGGCAACACACAAAGCAACACACACTCAGATGCCACTTAGGAATTATAAGATGAAGAATCTCTCAGATTTTCCTTGTTAAATGAAAGAAAACCCATCATATGGTTCATGGCTTCTCTGCACCTCCTGACTGTGAAGGTGTCAGGTGAGTGAGAACTGAAACTTTGAATAGCAATTCTTCCAGTAAAACAAAAACTTGTAACTGTTTCAGATAATTTCTTCTCTGTCTTACAGCTTATATAAGTATGAAGTTATGATTAATGAGATGATAATAAAAACTATTCAATTTAAGTTCCTGACCTTGCATTTCTTCATCAAAACTAAATCCTCACTTCACATTTCGCTCTCTCTCTTTTTCCTTTCAGCCTATCTGTCTTGTCTCAGGACGAGAATGGTGTGGTGCTGTCCCTGGGGGTGGAGTCTCAGAGAGTCATTATTAGCGCCCGGCCCTTCCGACTGGACATCATGGAAGGAAGCGACGTGCTGATGTCTCTGAACTCACGTGGCCTGCTGGCCTTTGAGCACCTGAGGATGCGCAAGGACACGTGAGAAACCCACGCATGCACACACATTTACAAATGCCAGCCCTCTCTTTGAATCCACGTCGTCACTCCGTGGATGATTTCTGTTTTTGTTCCCATGATATGGTTTGTTTTTTTGAGTATTGTCTCTGACTCGTTGTTCTGTCCTCTTCTCCCCTATCATCCTAGTTTCTCCTATAAAGTAACTAGCACAGTGGCTAGCGTGTGGGATAATATCAAGAGGGTATTCTCTAGGTAAAGACCCTTAAGATTTGTGTGTATTCTGTCCCATGTGCTAATGCTGCCAGTAGTGACACAAAATTTAGGCCCACACATCATATCAACTGCTGTATTTACCCTCAAATAAATGTGATGGAGAGAGAGGGTGTGGGTGAGTGTGTGCATGGTGTTGTTTGAGTTTTATTTAGATTAAGGGATCATTCCAGCCCTTCCTCTTAGCATAGCTGTGATAGACCGTCTTTACAATGACCATCAGAAGACCCAGAGAGATTATCTGGCAGTGTCTGCTTTAGGCCTTTTAGTTACTGTCTGCGTAAATCAATGTTTTGTCAGATCAACGTTTGATTAACTGTACTCCTTTAGTATTGCTCTAGCAGCTCGTCTGATAAATTCATCTAACACCGCAACTGCATGACTGACTGGATTTCTCAATCTGTTCTTTTGAATGAATGATTCAGATTTTCACTCTTGCTTAATTTATGGTCAGAGCTAAGTGCAGAAATAATGTTAAGGTCCAGATAAGAGCTATGATGTGGCATTACACACACACACCAGGGTTTCCCACAAACTTATTTTAGATCTACCAGAGATTATGTTGCTGCCATACATAGTATAAAAGAGAGGGATAGTATGATGTTTTATAAATCACTGAGATGCTGTTAGGGCTGTTCGATATAACGATATATATTGGATGACGATATTAAAAACGTCTATCGTTTCATTTTACGCTATTGTTTGTTTCGTGGCGTCGCAAAATAAACTGTTTACGGCAATATTTTTTTCATCGTTTTGATGGTCACTGTAGTGGCTATATTAATTTCTTAAATTCTCTCTTTCTCTTATATTTAATATAACCACACTACGGACGGACAAGCGCCTGTTTTTATGCGTTGTCGTTAGCAACAACGACGGTAACAGCATCGCCTTTCCGCTTGTTTATGTTCCACATAAACCTTTCACAATAAAGCTCAAGATCCTATTGAGACTTTTCAAAATAAACTGAATCACGTGAAGGAGCAGATTATTTACAGGTGAGAATGAAAAAAGAGACGTCAGGTGCTAAAAAATAAACCTTAGACTCAAATGTTAGAACAGGCTTTTCCCCGCAGCACGCCGTGTAATAAATACTCACAAAGAAAACGGCGGCCGTTACAACTTATGTCTAAAAATGTATAGTTTCATGCATCGGTTAAAACACTCGACTCCAGCTACATGAGGCG